GAATCATAATCTTCACGATCGTAATCATGATCATGATCATCGTGATCACAGTGATCGTAATCATCATAGTCATAATCATCATATCACAATCGCAACCATCGTAATCATAATCGTAATCAATCATCATAACCATGATCGTAGTCATCGTATTTATAATCATAATCATGATTTCCATGATCATCATAGTCATAACCATCGTAATCGTCATCACCATCGTCATCATAATCATAATCATCATGATCATAATCACAATTATAGTCGTGATCGTAATCATCATAATGATGATCACAATCAATCATAGTCATCATCATCATAATCATAATCATCGTAATCGCCATCATCATCATGATCATGATCATCGTGATCATAATCACAATCATAGTCATAACCATAATCGTCATAATCGTTGCCATAATCAATCATAGTCATAGTCATCGTAATCATAATCATCATCACCATCATCATCATCACCATCACCATCATCATCATGATCATGATCATAATCGTAATCATGATCATCACAATCGTAATCATCATAATCGTAATCGTGATCGTCGCAATCATCGTATTCATAATCATCATAATCATGATTGTCATAGTCGTGATAATAATCGATCATAACCGCAGTAATAATCGCGAACATGATCATCATAATCATGATCATGATCATCATAGTCAATCGTGATCGTAGTCATCATAATCGTAATGATCATAATCATAATCATAATCATGATAATCATAATCATCATAATCGTTATCGTAATCGCAATCGTAATGATCGTAGTCACAATCAATCATGTTTTTCATTATCGTAATCATTATGATCATGATCACGATCGTCATAATCATAATCGTAATCGTCGTAATCATAACCATAATCATAATTTTCACAATCGTTATCATCATACTCGTTATCATCGTAAACGCAATCATGGTCATAATGATCATGATCATTGTCAGAATCGTAGTCATGATCATCACAATCACAATTAATCATCCTAATCATAATCATCGTAATCGTCATCATCACCATCATAATCATGATCATCACAATCACCACAATGATCATGATCACAATCATGATCGTAATCATAATCGTCGTAATCATTATCACAATCATAATTCTCACAACCATGATCATCGTAGTTGCGATTGTAGTCATAATTATCATGATCATCGTAATCATCATGATCATGGTAATCATCATGATCGCAATCATGATCACCACGATCATCATAATCATAATCATAACCACGATCGTAACCATCATGATCACAATCATCATAATCGTAATCATCATAGTCATAGTCATAATCGCAATCGTAATCATTATAATCGTAATCATAATCGTAGTCACCGTAATCATAATCATCGCAGTCATAATCTTCATAATCGTAATCGTGATCGCGGTCATCATGATCATAATCATGATCGTAATCATGATAATAACTATCATAATCGCAAACATAATCATCGTGATCATAATCGTAATCATAATCATCACAGCCATGATCATGATCATCGTGTTCATAATCGTAATCGTAATCTCCGTGATCATCATCATGATCGTAATCGTCATAATCGCAGTCACAGTCATATTCATCATAATCATCGTAGTCACAATCTTTATAAACGTAATCATCGCAATCATAATCGTGATCGTAATCATCATCGTCACAGTAATAGTCGTGATCATAATCACAACCATAATCGTCATGATCGTAATCACAACCATAATCATCATGATCATCACAATCACAATCGTCGAAGTCATCATCACAGTCATGATCGTCGTAATGATCACAGTTATAATCATCATAACCATTATCACCGTAATCACAACCGTGATCATATTTTCATGGTCATAATCGTCACGATCGTAATCATAATCAATCATCATAATCGTAATCGTCGTAATCTCAACCATAATCATTACCATCATTGTCATGATCACCATAATCATAGTCATCGCAATCATAGTCACCATGATCATAATCGTCATGATCGTAATGATGATCGTAACCGTAATCGTCATCATCATGATCATCATCATGGTCATAATCATTGTCACAATCATCGTGATCACAATCGTGATCATTATAATTGTCATAATCGTAATCGCGGTCATCGTAATCATCATGGTCATGACCATCATAATCATAATCATGATCATAGTCATCATAACCGTAATCATAACCGTGATCGTAATCATCGTCACCATAATCATAATCACAACCATAGTCGTCATAATCATAACCATCATAATCGTAATCATAATCGTAGCTATCACAGTCATTCATCATAATCATAATCACCGTAATCGTGATCGTAATCGTAATCACCATAATCGTAGTCATCATAACCATCATAGTCATAATCGTAATTGTAATCATAGTCATTATCGTCATGATCATGATCACAATCATGATCATCGTAACCATAATCGTCATCATAGTCATAATCATCATAATCGTCATAATCGTAATCATGATCATCACAACCATC